AGGTGACAGGATCTAAGAAGAATAAAGCCAGAAGCTCATGAAAAGGGAGTTCAGTGGGCAACAGTACTGTCTACTTCATCTACTGTTAATTTCTAACCCTCTTTTATTGACAGAAGAGAACCTTTTAATTAGTCCAGAGAGCAGATCATTTAATTAAACCACAATAAGCTTCTACTGGTGCCACAGTCACAGTCTTGGTGCCCTGGAATGGCTCCGAATGAAGTCAGAGAGGACTCAAGTGTCTCCCCTCAGGGTACACTCACCAGGGTAAGAAGCCTCCTCAATTTCAGCACCTACTGGATCTGACCTCAGAGCGTTCAGCACCCAGGTCATGTTGTGAATTTCCCGCAGGGAGCCCATCTGAAGACGACATCTGAGAAGCCTTATATGTGCCTCAAAGAGCCATGCACCCCAACTTCATAGGCAGCAGTGACTCTCAGCCAGCATTGTAAAACAAAGTGTTTTTTTAGTCACCAATCTTGTTAGCCCAGAAAGCAGGAAGTTACAGCAAAGTCCATCTTGGGTGGGTGGGTGAGGAAGCTAGAGACCAGAGCTCTGCCTCCCCCCCAGTCCCAAGTCCCAAACCAAGAGACTGACCAACTTCTCAGCAGCCCAGTCTCAGCTATGACCCCCTGCTCCACCTCCATCCTTTGTCTCTTTTCTGGGAAAATAGGTCAGCTGACTTACACCTCCAGCTGATTCTTGCAGAGGATTGCAATAGCCTCTACTAGTGGAAGCAGCTATGTTGGTGGGTGAAGCTCTCCTGCCAATTTAGCATTGTGCTCGCTGGTGCTTATATCCATGTAGCGGATGTCATTCAGGGTGAGTGGTGATTTATTCCCTTCTCTCCCTGAGTGACAAACTGTAGTGCAGACATCGTCTAGCCTAACAACATCTCTGAGAGAAGTTAATTATCTCCATTTTAGAACAATGGTGAAAGAGGCAGCAAGAGATCCACTCATTCAAATCAGAGGTAGGGAACCTTTTTTGGGTTGGGGGCCCCCACAAAAATCAGTTGGGGGCTGCACACAAGGGAGAAAAAAACCCACAAACCCTTACTGACGTGGCACCAGACTGAGAAGGAGAAAGACACTCCCCATGTTCCCTTTGCACACCAGAGCCTAGGGGTACTCAGCCTAGTGCTCCAGCCCCCTGGTGGGATGGGAGCACCAGGGCAGGCTCCCCAGTGCTGCGAGTGTGGAAGAGAGCCTCAGAGGACGGATCCAAGCAAGCTGGGGGCTGCATCTGGCCTCTGGGCCTTAGGTTCCCCACCCCTAATTAAAATGGAGATACGAACTCTCTTAGCATCACTGCAAGAAGTTAAATGGTTGAAACTTTGATGTGGGGGTGGGGAAATTGTCAATGGCAAAATTCCATTAACTGGGCATCTATAATCCTTGCATGCTGATCTTGCCTTCTGTGCCTCAAGTCACAGAGGGTACGTCTACACTACAACATTAATTCGAACTAGCATGTCCACATTAAGTGGATCCTGAACCGGGCTTAAGGATGGCCGGAAGCAGTGCCGGCAGGGCAACAGAGGAGGACTTAGAGCGTGGAGCTGCTGTCTCAGGCTAGCCGCGGGCTGTGCTTAAAAGGTCCCTACGCCCACCCTGGACAGACGGTTCTCAGGGGTGCCCCGCTTGCAAAGCAGTCCTGGCTTGGAGTGCCCGGACTACCCACACTGGGCACATCACAGCACTCGGCCATCAGACCGGCTGCACTTGCCGCAGGCTGCCATCTGGGGAGAGGGGGCAATCGGGGGGCTGCAGGAGAGGTTCCACCCCAAAAGCCCGCAGAGCCAACCCAGTCCTCCCCATCGGGGGTGTGTACCCCATTCCTCCCTCACCTCCTTCCACTTACCCTTCCCTAGCCCCTTTTCTTGATGTACAAAATAAAGGACAATTGTGTTCAAAAATGGAATCTGTCTTTATTGAACAAAACTGGGGGAGACTGGGAAAAGGAGGTGGGAGAGGGGAAGAGAGAGGCTGGGAGAGGGGAGGGCAACTAAAATGATGAGGGGTTGGGAACAGGCCCCATATGAAGAGAGGCTAAAGAGACTGGGACTTCTCAGCTTAGAAAAGAGGAGACGGAGGGGGGATAGGATAGAGGTCTCTAAAAGCATGAGTGGGGTGGAGAGGGTGCATACAGAAAAGTTCTTCATTAGTTCCCATAAAGAAGGACTAGAGGACACCAAAGGAAAGGAATGGGTAACAGGCTTCAAACTAGTAACAGAAAGTTGTTCTTCACAAAGCACAGAGTCAACCTGTGGAACTCCTGGCTGCAGGAGGCTGTGAAGGCTACAACTAGAACAGAGTTTAAAGGGAAGTGAGATCAAGTCATAGAGGTTGGGTCCATGGAGTGGTATTAGCCAGGGGGTAGGAGTGGTGTCCCTGCCCAAGGATTGTGGAAGGCTGGAGAGGGATAGCACGAGACAAATGGCTTGGTCACTGTCTCCGGTCCATCCTCTCCAGGGTCCTTAGGGTTGGCCGCTGTCGGCAGACAGGCTACTGGGCTAGATGGACCTTTGGTCTGACCCAGGACGACCATTGTAAGCTCAGGGCTCAGGGT